AACTGGGTAAATAAAAGAAATACCCACCTAGACACAACCTGAAAGAAAAATAGATCACCTACAGCAGAAGGACAGTCAGAATGACAACGAACTTCTCAAAAGCAAAATGAAAGCTACATGACGGAACTAACCTCTTCAAAGGACCAAGAAAAAATAATCTATAACATAGAACTATGTACCTAGCAAAAGCATCTTTCAAGTAATGGCAAAATGAAGATACTTCCATATAAACAAAAACTAAGAACATTTACCACCTAGAGATACACATTAAGGAAACTTTTAAAGATTTACTTCAAAAGGAAGGGGGAAAATGAGATACCATATGGAATTATGAGCAAATCAGGTATATATATAAACCCAAGCATATAAGATCTACATAAAAACCATAAAGTGTAATAAAAGGACAGACCTAGAATATTGGCTACTAATATTTCCAAGACAGGAGGAGTGACTCAATTAAACTGGTTAAGATTCCTCAATTGTTTAGGAGGAAGTCACAGTATTAAATTTAGCCTCTGTTGAATAAACTTAGTAAAATATCAAGGGTAACCATTAAAAGAATTGAAATAAAGGATCTAGATTCTAAACAAAAAAAGAAAAGAATAAAGCGGAATATGAAAAACTAAAATCACTTTTTAAACAAAAGAAAAAAGGAGAAAAAAGCATAGGAAGATCAAGACAAAGAAAAAAACTAGGGCATAACAAGCCCAAATATATCAATTATGATAATAAATTTAAAGAGACTAAGCACATTAGATAAAAGCTAAGTCAAGGTATATACATTTTATAAGAGACACACCTAAACTGTTACACATGGGAAGTTTGAAAGTAAAGGGTAATAAAAGATATAGCAGGCAAATATTAGCTAAAAGAAAGCTGGAGTAGCTATATTTATAACAGACAAAATAGATATTAAGACAAAATGCATCACAGATTTTAGATAGAGTCACTATATCCTAATAAAAGGTTTAATTCACTATGAAGATTTTTTAAAATTCTAAATTTGTATGCATATGTATTCAATAAAATTGCCTATCGTATATAAATTTTAAAATCCGTAAATACAGAAAGAAACTGACAAACCCACCAATGGCAAATGATTTTATGTTTCTTTAATTATTGATAGGCCAAGCAGATGAAAATTTAATTAAAATTT